CCTCTGCCCCTACTGCACTTTAGACCTTCCCCCCCAATCAGCCCATGTCAGCTGTACAGGGCACCTGCACATGGGCTCCCATAAGGAAAGCCCAAAGCTGGGGAACAGCCCTTCAGGACAGAGACACTGTGCAGAGGAAAGTGGTGTTTCCAGCATAGTCATTTCTCTTCTCCTACTGATACTAATTACAGTTTGCTAAATGTAAACTGGGGAAACATCTCACCCACCCAGAGGAGTTCCAGAAACGGGCCTGTTGTCTTCATAGTAACCTAGGAGGGGAAAGCTCTTCCTCTATCTAAACTACCCTCCTTCTGGACAACCAGAGTTTGCAATTGCAACTCTTTTTTTTTTTTTTTTTTTTTTGACAGGCAGAGTGGACAGTGAGAGAGAGAGACAGAGAGAGAAAGGTCTTCCTTTGCCGTTGGTTCACCCTCCAATGGCCGCCGCTGCAGCCGGCGCACCGCGCTGATCCAATGGCAGGAGCCAGGAGCCAGGTGCTTTTTCCTGGTCTCCCATGGGGTGCAGGGCCCAAGCACCTGGGCCATCCTCCACTGCACTCCCTGGCCATAGCAGAGAGCTGGCCTGGAAGAGGGGCAACCGGGACAGAATCCGGCGTCCCGACCGGGACTAGAACCCGGTGTGCCGGCGCCGCAAGGTGGAGGATTAGCCTATTGAGCCACGGCGCCGGCTTGCAATTGCAACTCTTTAAACCTCAGGACCTTTCTCTCTGTTTCTTGCTCCAATGCTAAAGCTGGAGGCCTAAAGTGGAGGCATACGGAAGACACCACCTGGCTGGCAAGGGGGTTAATCACACAGGACAGCAGCATGAGAGGGCAGGCTGGCAATACAATTCCACAGCCAATTATACTGAAGCAACAAACTCAAGCTTCCATGCAGCGACTCTGCCCATGGTGCTGTCATTTTGCCACCTAGTCATTCTCTTCCATTTAGCATCATTTGTTGATCTCTCTCTATTAAAATCCTTCTCCTTGTAGGACATCATCAAGAGACCCCTTCTCAGTGACACTTTCCCTGGTTTCATACTCCCCAGCTACATCCAAAAGAATGGATCTTTCCTCTCTGTTATCACAGACTGTTGTGTGGGTCTCTGCTCTACTACTTCCAGCGCCTAGCACCCAGTTGTCCAAGGTCTCTAAGGTCCTTTCAAGCTTCAAACTTCCATTTGCCAATTACACCTCAATAAAGCTGGGAAGAGTATTACATGGGAGCACTGATACAACAGCAAAGAAATCTTTTAGATATTTTAAATATCTTGTGTTTGCAAAAGAATTTAAATCTATGTATTAAATTGAAATACGGCATGAAAACAACTATAAGTGCCCTGAAACTGTATATTTCACAACAATACCATCAAAACAGGAAAAAGCTATTTTTCTTAAAAAATATATTCGGGCCGGCGCTGTGGCTCACTAGGCTAATCCTCCACCTTGCAGCGCCAGCACACCGAGTTCTAGTCCCGGTCGGGGTGCCGGATTCTGTCCCAGTTGCCCCTCTTCCAGGCCAGCTCTCTGCTGTGGCCAGGGAGTGCAGTGGAAGATGGCCCGAGTGCTTGGGCCCTGCACCCCATGGGAGACCAGGAGAAGTACCTGGCTCCTGCCATTGGATCAGCGCAGTGCGCCAGTGCAGCGCGCCGGCCGTGGTGGCCATTGGAGGGTAAACCAACGGCAAAAGGAAGACCTTTCTCTCTGTCTCTCTCTCTCTCACTGTCCACTCTGCCTGTCAAAAAAAAAAATAAATAAAAAATAAATAAAATATATTCTTAAAAATAATTCAATGGCCTAAAAGTATTAGTGGAAAGATGGTGGCTTCGGCACCAGGAAACAGTATGAACATCAGTGCAGCAGCTTCTAGCCCAATGACTATCCATCATTTTTCATGTCTTTGGGCCTCAGTTTTCTCATCTACTCAGGGGCAGTGGTGATGATAGGACTTAGCACATTAGATACCAAGCATGCAAAAGCATTTTACAGAGAAGAAAACACAGTGTGCACATTAGTAAGTTTCTCCCTGCTCTAGGAGAGCTCCCATCACACTGGATTCAACACCTAAAACACACGTCTCAGATCCCCAGACTCGCACTACAGATCTTTTCTATCTCTGTCTGTAGAATAACAATCTTTCAATAAGAATTCCCAGAAACTGTGAGGCTATTGGTCATAACAACTTTGGAACACCTTTTAAAAGTATTCACCTTGCGCTAAGCATTTGCCTTATAAACAGAATGAGAGAATCAGATACGCTTATGGGACACCAGGCTTTCAAATGAATATTTACGTGATCTTGAGAAAACTGATTCGCTTTTCAATCTCAGCTTCTTTGTCTCTGAATCAGTTACCAGGCTAGACATAAAATTGTTTTGAAGATTTTAAAATGTGAGAACCAAGCATACAGACTTACACTTGACACGGAACAGGCACTCAACAGCAATTAATTCCTTTCTCCTGCTTTTCACTCAGAGCACTGAGATTCTTGAATCCCACAATATAAATATCCATATAAACAGATGTGTGGGAGATGGTGGGCAGCTGCTAGTGGCTGACGTCAGGGGAAGATTTCACCAGAACCCCCATTCCAATATCACAACAGGGGCCCTGCACCGGGCTTTCACCCACCGTGCCCATCACCACAATATTTTACAGGAGCATTTATTTTTTTTTTTAAAGAAAGTTCATTCTCAATGATGCATGTGATAAATACGCTTGCTTTAAACCTTTTAGAAATATTAAAGGTTTTAGAGCTCAGTGTTTGGCAGACTTGATTAATCCCTTCCACACAGACATATTCAGGAGGATGGCTGTGGTTGGGCTTTAAAGCTCTGAGAGTGTGCTTTGATAAAGGAAAAGTGAAAGATTTTTTAAAAAGAGAAGGGAGAGGGAAGGAGAGGGAGAGAGGGAGAGAGGGAGAGAGGGCGAGAGGGTGAGAGGGAAGGAGAGGGAGAGGGAGAAAGAGAGATTCTTGCGCCATACAGAATAAACAAAGAACATGAAGCCCCAGAATGCTGCAGTGTGATGGGTTCAGGAGGGGTGTAGAGGAGCAGTACTTTCGCCACTGTCTCCTTGAGAGTTTTTCCACGGAAAGCACACGTGCAGCCTGATGGCAGGACATTCCTCTAAGAGTTGTCTTCTCTTCTGGGTCCGAGAATGGATGATGTGGGAGGGGTCGCGGGAGCAGGGCAGACACCAGCAGTGCCAACTTCAGAGAGGACCCAGACAGAGTGTACACGGCCCCTTCTCAGGGCCCTGCCCCACTCCGCTGCCTCCTAGCTGCCCCTGCACTCACCTAGGCTCTTTCCTGCACAGCCCTCAGCAATCGTCCCACTGGATTGCTCTTCTCTCAAGAACAGCAAATACGTTTTAGCTACTTTTCTCCTCAGCACCTAACCCAGCTCTTGTATGTAAGAGTACTTCAAACCTTCATGAAAAAAAATTAAATGAAAACATGTCTGCCCTTTAATGCAAAAGTTTTTTGAAATTCATGCATAGTTTCTTTTATCAAACACATTTTTTCATGAACTTTGCGTAGAACCTTAGTATACTAGGCGTTTATTAAATGGAAAGAGTTGTGGTTTAATACATCCTTGGTGAAAATGTCTAAAAACGGGAGTAATGTAAATGCTGAAAATAATGCTTTCAAAATTATTCACAGATTCTACTTCCCTCCATGTGCACATCACAAAAGCAAACAGTTTAGAGGCTAAGCCCTTGAGAATTTCACACAGAACCTCATTCGACAGATTTACCGAGTGTCACTACTGTCCTGGGTGAGCAGGACATGCTTTCCAGCTCAGCATCCTGCCTGGGCAGGGAGACTAAGGAGCACTGTGATAGAGACCGCTATGAAGACGGACGTGGGGATTGTGCAGGACAAAAGGAACCACATCCCAGTTGTTTTGTTCATGCAGTGGGGGTGGGGGTGCCAAAAAAAAAGCTTTAAGAATGAGTGGCAGACGCATCAGCTGAATATTCAAGGGCGATGCAAAGGGAGACAGGGAAAGGATGTATTCTGTATCCTACGTAGCTTTCATCTTCCAACTTCCAGGGCTACTCCAAATGCAACATTTGCTCTGCTAATCCACCTCCCACACAGCATCTCCAAGTGTCAGCCCACAATGCTCTGAGGATTTTTTGACACCCAGTCAAACTCTCACCCTGACCCCTACTCTACTTTTACGGAAGCATTTTCCCAACACGAAACACCAACGTATTTGCCACAAGATATTATGGGGGCAAAGGTGTAATTCAATTATGTGACTTAATCAATTCAAATGGCTAACATACAGGAATCTCAGGATGTCATCCAGCTTTCAGCTAAAGGCGAATAATTGTTCCATAATTTCTTAATTCTCTCACAAGACAGTTTAAATTAAAGGATGTCAATTTGCAAAGCCAGACTGCATTGTATTCTTAAATTGGGCCTGAAATAGCCACAAGATGAAGGGTAATAAGGCAGAGAGCACTGCCCAGAGTGCCTGGTGCTGTGCAAAATTGTTTAATACGGTCAGACCCTTTAATCTTCATATCTATTGATGCAGAAAGCAGCATATTTCTGTCACTTATGATAAGAAACATTACTTTTTAAATTCCTTGGTGAGGCCTGCAGATCTCATGCAGCCAAGATAGCAAGACTCTCTATTGCTGTTTCTGTGAACATTTCCTTTTTCCCATAAATTGGTTTTATTCTAATCCATTTAGTCTCCAATCTAAGTCAGAGACAAGTAACCCTGAATGGAACCTTGCAGGAAAACAAAGACAAGTGCCTTTCAGTTCTCAGATTCCACTGGCTACAACCTCTTTGAGTAAACCGGTGATTAAACAAATAATGAACCTCAGAGTATTAACAATGGGGCAGGCAATGAGTTCCAGAAAGAAAGAGAAATGGGAATAGCTATTGAGAGACACAGAATCATGCTCAAAAGTTGAGGAAGCTGGGCAGTAAATGAATTGAACAGTTTTCATGCAAAAGTCAAGTGATTTACTTACAACTAGAAAACGGCTCCTTCAATGTGTCCAAGCTGGATGGGGATGATGCTGGGGAAGGGAGGTCCAGCGTCTAGACTGCAGGAACTGGATGATGCTTTGTCGAGACTGCCAGGGTCACAAGGCAGGAATCCTCATCCAGAGAAGCCAAGGAAACAGCTGTAGTGAAAAACAGTCACCGTCAATGCTGGAAGAAAATGAAAGAAGGGTGAAGTATGGAGTTGGTCATCCAACAGAGCTTGACGTGAGCGGTTCAGAGTGAAGCGTACCATTCTAAAGAGGCTGTGGGGTGTGTAGGTGGGCACAGGGCGAGGAGACGGATATGAACTGTGCTAAGCTCAACCAAAGGAGAATGGTCAGGGATGCCAAGCCTAGCAGACGCTAGACTACGAGGAGGAGAGAAGCAAAGCATCAAACACATACACACACGTACGTGTATGTGTGCTATATAATACATATATGCTATAACATATTTTACATATATATGCTATAATATTTAATATACACATGCTATAATTCAAAAGCCATAAATTATCCATTTTTCACTTGTATGAATCTATAGGATTACACTTTGCAATGAAATTATTGGTAAAGAATGTGGATAGTTTAATTTTGAAAGGTATTGTCCAATTACCCTACACAAAGTCTGTGCAATGTTACATTCTCCTTGACAGTGTGCAACAGGGGCACTTTTCTGTGCTTTCACCAACAGAGCTAGTCATATTTGTTTCTCAGGAGAGACATGAGGTATAAGTCATAATAATGGCAATAGTGAGGCTAATATTCAGTGAATGATCTTAGCATACAAACACAGCTTTTGGTCATTCTATGTGTTAGTCCATTTATTCCTAAGAGCAAACACCAATGTAGGTCATTAAGCAGACAAGAGAATAGAAACAGAGAACTTAGGAGACCTGTCTCTGACCATGGATAGCTATGAAAGGTGGAGCTGGGATTCTAGCCAGGGCAATTAGTAGTATTTCTTCAAAGCCCAGACTCTTAAAAAAAAAAAAAAAAAAAAAAGATTTGCTTATTTATCTGAAAGGCAGAGCGAGAGCGAGAGGAGAGCGAGAGAGAGAGAGAGAGAGAGAGAGGGAGGGAGGGAGGGAGGAAGAGAGAGGAGAGGAGAGAGAACTGATTTCATACTCTGGTTCATTTTCTTCAAGCAGCTGCAACAGCCAGGACTGGGCTACACTAAAGCCAGCAGTCCAAAACTCCATCTGGGTCTCTTATATGGGTGGCAGGGATGCAAGTACTTTGGCCATCATCTGCCGCCTCCCATGCACATTAGCAGGAAACTGGATTGGAAGCAGGCACTCAGATATGTGATTGGAGTATTCCAAGTGACAATTTACCTGCCTGCACCATAACACCTACCTCCGTAACTCCTTAACCATTACCTCTTCTTTCAGGTGATGGTATACTGACAGTACGTATTATAGCAGATGTACATAAGTAGGAAGATTGAAGATGTGTGTGTGTGCAGGAAATCAAGCAGAGAGTCCAGATCTTTCTAGGTTAATGAAAGTGGACACTGGTTTAACTGGGAAAATACTGGACTATAGTGACTGAAAAGCAGAACCCTAAGAACAAGTTAACACTGTTTTCCCTACCTTTTTACTAGAAAAACAATTGGATAAATACTGATTGTTAGAATGATCAGAGTTTAAATGAAAGTGCAGTGTGGGCAAAAGAGTATACAGTTTTAAGTCACATAGACTAGAGCTGAAGTCCAAGTTCTAAGAATCTTCAACTGGGTGGCCTTAGAAAAGTTACATAACTTATTTGAACTCTACTTTCTTCAACTGAAAAGAAAAATAGTCAACAATATTTAAATAATACAAAATAAAAATGATGCCAATAATTCAGCAAATATTGTAATAATTTCTCTCTGCTTATTTGATCCTACTCTTCACATTGCTCCATACAGATGCTCTGATTTAACCAAATTTATTTATTCACTTTCCTTAAACATGATGAACTTTTCCTGGCCACTCATATTTCTGTATCCCAATCCATCTTGCTGAAATAATCGCTTGGCTCTCAGGTCCTGTTTATAAGATTTAAGCCAAGAAGCCACCCAGATCTACACCAAATGCCACCAACTTCACAAAGTGTTCTTTGATTAATGCCCACTGAGGTAAAATACCACTGTCTGTGAACTCCTAAGTACAACTGGACTCTACTACTTCTAAGACATTAAGCACCACAATGGCAGTAGTCAGGAAATGCTTTCTTATATAGTGGGCACTGCTCTAGGCACAATACAAATACACTTCCTATCTCATTTCATCTTCTCACGAGTCATGGGTTCTGTTGCGATCCCCTCTCAGAGAGTCATGAGGGCACTATGTCTAAGTCTTATCTGCACAGCTGGACTGAGGAGGGCTCTAGATGGCCAACAGGCCATGAGTGTAATATTTAAGCCTGTAGGTGTTGGAGTCAAAGAATCTGGATTCTTGGCCGGCACCGCAGCTCACTAGGCTAATCCTCCACCTTGCGGCGACAGCACACCGGGTTCTAGTCCCTGTCAGGGCACCGGATTCTGTCCCGGTTGCCCCTCTTCCAGGCCAGCTCTCTGCTGTGGCCAGGGAGTGCAGTGGAGGATGGCCCAAGTACTTGGGCCCTGCACCCCATGGGAGACCAGGAGAAGCACCTGGCTCCTGCCATCGGATCAGCGCGGTGCGCCGGCTGCAGTGCGCTGGCCGCGGCGGCCATTGGAGGGTGAACCAATGGCAAAGGAAGACCTTTCTCTCTGTCTCTCTCTCTCACTGTCCACTCTGCCTGTCAAAAAATAAAAAAATAAAAAAATAAAAGAATCTGGATTCTTTGGATTGTAGTTTGTTCCTGACTCTATCAGCTGTGTGCTCTCTGGCAAGTTACCAAATATCTCCACGTGTTGATTTAATTTTTAAGAGAGGACACTGATAAGACTGGAAGGCTAAGTTTTATAGATAGAAAAAACAGGGCTTGCCAAATGTTCGCTTATATTTTTATTAATAATATCTAAAACGTATATAGAAAATCATTTTAAAAAGTCTTATATGCCAGGACTTTGCATATGCACTTCCCTCTTCCTGTACTATCTTTTCCCATCAGCACTCATCATTCCACTGCCAATTTAAAGAAATCAAGGCCCCGGGCTCCAAGGCCTAGTGTTTCTAGCATCTGCTGCTCTGCAAAGCTTTCCTTGGCAATCCTCTTCCCAGAAAGAGCTCCCCTCATTGTGCCCTTGTTACCTTTTACACCCTGTTCTCCTGTACCATTCATCACACTGTATCTGCAGCAATTTCCAGTTCTAATAGCTGATGAGAACTCTGAGCTTCCTAAAGATAAGGACTATGTCTTTAGTCATTAATCCCTAATACTTGGCACACTGCTGATATAACCTCAGTGCTTATTATGTGCCTTTTAACTGAGTACAATAATGAATTAAAAATAAATGCCCGAGAGGCTGGCACTGTGGTGCAGTGGGTTAAAGCCCTGGCCTAAAGTGCTGGCATCCCATATAGGCGCTGGTTCTAGTCCTGGCTACTCTTCCTATCCAGCTCTCTGCTATGGCTTGGGATAGCAGTAGAAGACTGTCCAAGTCCTTGGGCCCCTGCACCCATGTAGGAGATCCAGAAGAAGCTCCTGGCTGCTGGCTTCGGATCAGTGCAGCTCTAGCCGTTGTGGCCATCTGGGAAATGAACCAATGGATGGAAGACCTCTCTCTATCTCTACCTCTCTCTAACTCTTTCAAGTAAATAAAATAAATCTTTTGTTGTTGTTGGTGGTGGTGGTGTTTATCTTTTTTTTCTTTTTTTTAACTTTTATTTAATGAATATAAATTTCCAAAGTACAGAATATGGATTACAATGGCTTCCCCCCCATAACGTCCCTCCCACCCGCAACCCTCCCCTTATCCACTCCCTCTCCTCTTCCATTCACATCAAGACTCATTTTCTATTCTCAAATAAAATAAATCTTAAAAAAAAATGCCCGAGTGATGGGAGAGGAAGAGTCACCAAATCTCAACTCACTACTATTATCATTCACCAAAAACATCATTCTCTTTGATGATCAAAGCATAGAAGAGAAACTGTACTAATACTACGTGTTTCATAAACATACATACGAGAATTCTTTAAAGGACAAATTGCATTCCTATCAGCCACACACTCACTCACCACACTGCCAAGCTATTGATGCTTTAGTGACAGATACTGCAAAATGATAGATTCACCAGCAATTCTTAAACTTGGGACATTAACATTGCCTGCTCAGATATAAGCAGAATGCTATGGAGGGAAAATAATAATTAACTCATAAGGAGAGGGGCAAGTAAACATTCTATTAAAAGGGGAAAAAATCCCAAATGAATATAATCTCCTTCCATTACATACTAAGCATTAAAATTAATGGCGTTGGTTTTCTTGTGATTTGGATAGTCATTGTATTTAACAAGCTGAAGTTAACTTCACAGGCAAAAAAATAAATTAAATGTGCCGGTGTCTCAGGAAACTTCATTTTCTGAGTGAATAGCCAAGTTGATGCACATCACCAGAATGTCTGACAATCAGTTTTCCATACTGGTGTGTTCTAAATGGGAAAAGAAACCAAGTCTTCATTTAAATTATATTGCAAATCACTTTTTGCCTGCTGAATGGCATTCAGCTGCAGTAGGTGGCTTTCACCGTAGGGCCCAAACCACGACATTGGATGATTAATGCTAATTTGAAATGTTTTCTTTGGGGGGATGGGCACACTATCTTGGCGCATATGAGGCTGAGGAAATTTTATGGTGGGTAACTGACTCAAAGGCCAACAGCGTATTTGCCATCAGATAAAAATGCACATTCACAAACATACCAAGACAAGTCAATTATTCCCCGATTCAGTTTTCCCTGGGAACCGTTGTATACAGAAACCTATTTATACTCCCCCATCAGATGGATACACAGAATCACAGTCAACAAGCCCCCGATCCCACTATTTTATATTATATTTCCCAGGGCACCTTTCATTGTAGAAGCCATTAGTTTTGTTCTTTTTGTTCCCGATTTATCAAAGCAGACATGTTACTAGTGAGTTCTGTTTTGCTCCCAGATACCAGTTAGAAGACACAATTTTCGACCATCTGAAAATAAGCAAAATATGCTTTGTAATCTTT